CTATTTTTTTAAAGTTACCCTTTCCTTTTGAAGTTCACAGATGACAGAGGCTCTCACTGATCCACCTTTCCTTTACAAGGCCATTAAGTCCCAAAGAAAGCAATCACCAAAAGATTTCTTTTATTGCCACCCTTTGTGGTTCCTTTTCCTCCATTCACTCTGCTGCCTCATTTGTACCAAAAGAGAAATGATATTTCACGCATTACACTGTTTGTCACTCAACCTGGCAGTCATAGTTGTGTGTGCCTTTCGTGTGTGATCAGTGTGTGCTGTCCCTTCCTTTCCCCTGAAATGGGGCGCGGGGGGGGCCTTCCTGCTTCGGGAGCAGAGGGGACATGTTGTTAGCAGTGTGTGGGCTGACATGCACTTTTTCTATTGTCTCAAACGTCCAAACCCCCTGAGATGGCAAAATAAGGCCCCGAGTCCCCAAAATACCCACGTTCTAATTCTTGGAACCTGCAAGTATGTCTGTTACATGGCAAAAGGGAATTAAGATTGCCAGTGGAATTAAGGTTATTAATCAGCTGATTTTAAAATAGGAAGATTATCCTGGATTATTGTGGCAGAACCAATAAAATCACAGGGGTCTTTACGAGTGGAAGGGGGCAGAGTTAAAGGTCAGAGTGATGCAAAGCAGAAAGGGCCTAAGCAGCTGGGCTGGCTCTGAAGACACAGGAGGGGCTGTGCACCAGGGAACGTGGACTCTGGAACTTCCAGCCCACGAGAGGCTGGAGTCGGGGGAAACCTCTCTCCTGGGCCTCCAGCAAGGAGTGCAGCCCTACTGACCCTTGGGTTTTAGACCAGTGAGACCTGTGTCCCGCTTCTGACCACAGAACTGTGAATTAGTAAACTGTCTTTAAGCCATTAACTATGCAGCAATTTGTTACAGCAGCAACAGGAAACTAATACCACTCTGCCTTGCAAGACCTGCCTGGCGCACTCCTGAGACGCCGCCTCCGTTTAGAAAGCCCATTGCACTATTTCAGCTTTGCTAGTTAATTCAATAGAATTAGTGAACACCTATTGTACAAAAGGTTATTTATTTGCCATTATTTCTTGCCATTATTTCTCTCAAAATACTTCCCTGGGCTTCAAACACAGTTAAGCCACCATTCTTGAAATTTCTGCAGCAGCTCTGGAGGTCTTCTTTTGGGAGTTCCAGCCAACAGAAAGCCAGGCTTGTAAAAACATTGTGCTTTTACAACCTGAGATCCTAGAAATACATAGTGAATAGGAAAGACCCAGCCCTTTCATTTCCTCAACAAATATGCGCATTCCCAGACTCTGGGGTAGATGTGGCAGAAATGGAAAGAAAACAGTCCTCATCACAACGGCTCAAAGGCTTCTGAGAAGCACTCGGCACAGATAAAACACGGTAATTTGACACAGTCGGTACAGGGCATAGGAACTATTATGGTTTCTGTCTAGATGCCCCCCAGGAACTTCATGCGCTCGTGGGTGGGCTTCTGGAGGAAGGTGGATCACGGGGCACTGGCTGTTTAGGAGCCGGGTCTGGTTGGAGGAGGGTGGTCACTGCAGGTACCTCGGAGAGTTTATCTTTCCTAGCTCCTTCCCTCCCTCCCTGCTTCCTGGCTGCTGCCGTGAGGTGAGCAGCTTTCCTGGCCAGGCCTTCCTGGCACGGAGCCTCTGGCCTCAAAGCACGAGCCAAAGCCAGTCTCTCCTGCAAGGTGCGGCGTCGGCACTGTGTCCCAGGGACAAGGACGGTGACTACAACGCGAGTACAGAAGACAACCAACAGACTCAGCGCGTGGACTGGAGCAACTTCAGGGAGAAGCAGCAGAGCTCAGGTGAGTGAGGGCCCGCGAGGCAGGTGGACCTGGTGTGGAGCTCAGAGCTCTGGAGGTGACACTGGAAACGCAGCTGGTACATGTGAGGATCAGGATTTTAAATGTCCCTTCATTTTTATTGTCTTTAATTGAAAGGAAAATAGCCACATGTGACTGCTGGCCTCCAAACTGAACAGAGCAGACCATACTAAACGGTACCCGTATGGAGACTGCCCTCTCTCCCTCCTCCTGCTTCTTACTGGCTGGAAAGCAGATGTTACCGGAAGCCATCCTGGACCAGGCCCACAGGACATCAGCCCAGGACGTAGGGAAGGACATGAAGGAACTTGGGCCCTGACAATATAAGAAGCCATATTTCAGTTTGCTTCTGCCAGGCTGTTTGGCGGGGGGTATAGAAACTCTGAAACTGTTTAACCTGCTGTTATCTAGGGTCTTTGTACAGCAGCCAAATCTGTCTCTTAAAATGATGAAAAACAACAACTGTAATCTTGGCTAAGATTTTTTTTAGTTCTTTCTTTGCAGCAGACACTGTGCTAAGCGCACATGCACATTTAATGCTACACAGACCACCGAGGTAGACAGTGGCATGCGTCCATTCCACAGACGCCATGGAGGTGGAGCGGGACAGCTCAGCAGGGCCAGGAGTTCGCTTTTCTGACAGCAGACGACACTCTAGTGGGCGAATGCTGCCTGAGTCACATTCCTGTTGCTGGGGCACAGCACCCAGCACCCACAACTCGAAGGAGGAGAAGGTTACTCTGGTTGGTGGTCTCAGCCCACAGCCAGCGGCCCTGGGCAGACGCAGCCTGGTGGAAGGTACTGCTGTGGAGGAGAGCTGCTCGCGGAAGGCGGCTGGGAAGTAGAGAGAAGAGGGAGGAGCCGCTGAGGGAGAAATGCCCTTCCAGTGCCAGCCTCCGACCAGACATTGCGTCCTGACGCCACATTTTGCTACACAGCCCCTAGCGCCCAATCACCTTCCAAAAGCTCCATCTATGAGTGCATGGCCTTCAGGGCACCAGCTACACAAGCCGTAATAGACACATACTATGTTATCATGGAGGGTCAGACAAATGGGTGTGTGTGCAGCCAGTTTTAAAATGTACAGAAGTGGCGGCCCACACTTGCAATCCCAGGACTCTGGGAAGCTGAGACAGGAGAATCAGAAGTTTGAGCACAACAGGGGCAACTTTGCAACGTAGTGAAATCCTGTCTCAAAGTAAAAATATAAAACTGGGTGTAGTGACACGCGCCTGTAATCCCAGCACTTGGGAGGCTGAGGCAGAAGGATCACAGTGAGGTTGAGGCCAGCCTGGGGTAAGATAGTGAGTTCAAGGTCAGCCTCAACTACATAATGAGACCCTGTCTCAAAGAGACCAAAAAATTAAATAAATAAATATAAAAAAGGACTGGAGATATAGCTCTGTATGAAGACCCTAGATGCAATCCCCAGTACTGCAAATAAAGTAAAATTTAAAATAAAATGCAGAGGTATATTTGCCATAGACATTCTCAGTTGTTTACCTAACAGCCATTCCCCCTTCTTCCTATAAAAAGAACCCCAGATTGTTCAAACAGTAGGCATAGATTCCTGGACTTCATGAAGGACAGGCCTCTGTTGCAGAATCCATGAGAGAACTCCTAACTAGTCTAAGCTAGTCATGCCTTTTGCCAGTAACTGGTCTAAGTATAGGCATGTAGCATAGTTCTGGTCAATGAGATGTAAGCAAAAGTCTGAGAGAAACAAAAAGCCCCAAACAAAAGGTCAAAACCTGCCTGGAATGAAGATGCAATGCTGGAAGTACAGCATCCATCATGCAACCATGAAGACAAAAGCCCACATCATCAGAATGCAGAAGAAAGAGCTAAGAGGGCTCCTTGCTGAGGTCGCTGAGCTGTTATTCCTTTCCTGGGCATCCTACCTCTAGACTTCTTGCAGGGTGAGAAAACAAGCCTCTATTTACTCAGAGCCACTATAAATTAGGTTTTTAGTTTTTTACTGCTGAAGTCCACCCTAACTGACACACATACACATATGCAGACATTATCTTCTGTTTTCCTTGGGAAACTTAAGGGAAAACGCCCGTGCTCACAGGGTGTGCTGCACCTTTGCCACTGCCGCTGTGACACTCAGTTCCCAGTGGCCAGCCAGTCAGAAGCACTGGTCTCCCTCCCAACACACACTTGATGATGGCTCTGAACAGCCTCACCAGGCAGCGGTGCTCACATCTTCTTCCCACCCTCACAGCAAAAAGAAGCGCCCTCCCTCCGTGGCACATATTCCCTGGGGAACGCCCATGTCCGAAAGGCACTGAAGTTCCGTTGTACCAGACTTCCTTAATATTCTGATATTTTAAAACACATCTTAACAGGCAGCGTTGAGAAGAAACACTAACCCTGCTGTGGAGATCCTTTATCACGGAAAGATAAAGGAAGAGGGAGGCCTGGTGCAGGATGCCTGAGATCTAAAATATTTAATTACACAGCGACACTTAGGCAGTGAGTGACGCTCTGCTCCTGAGTTCCTGTGAAAGCCGATTTAACTCTCGTCTCTGCGCATAAAAAGCAACAAGTATTTATGCAATCAGTTACCAGAATTACAAATTTAAAACATTCTTAAAAGCCAGGTATTTCCAGTGGAAGGAGAAATGATCAGATGTTCCTCTGTTCGTGACCATACACCATGCCACCTTGCCATGTTGTTGACCTTTAATCTGATTTGTAACAGAAAAGCTCATGGGGCAACTTAGCCTGTCCTACTCCATTCACAAAAAGAGAAGATTAGCCATCAAAGGAGCACATTTTTCCTGGGATTTTGTTGAATAAATGAGCTAAGACATATTTCCCTTTCAAATACCAAAAATATTTCCAGATAATAGGAACGGTAGGAAACAGCAAAATTAAGATTCAGGCAAAAGTTTACAAACGGAAAGAGAGAGAGAGAGAGAGAGAGAGAGAAGGAAAGAAGGAAGGAAAGAAAGAAAGAAAGAAGAAGGAAAGAAAGAAAGAAAGAAGAAAGAAAGAAAGAAAGAAAGAAAGAAAGAAAGAAAGAAAGAAAGAAAGAAAGAAAGAAAGAAAGAAAGAAAGAAAGAAAGGAGAAAGAAGGAAGGAAAGGAGGAAAGAGGGAGGGAGAGCGGGAGCGGGAGGAAGAAAGCCCTGGACTGCAGAGAGGCCGCGTCGCGAGGCGAGACCCACCTTGGAGATGATCAGCGGCTCCCCGCGCTCCAGGCCGCCCTTCAGGGTGAAGCCCCAGGGGGCGCCGCCCTCCAGCACGGCCTCCAGGTACAGGTGCCGGGCCCCGGGGGGCGCGCGCGGCTGCGGGCGCTCGCGCGTCCTCATCTCGCCGGACC